CATATAGTCTAAAGTCGAAGTCTTGGAGTCAACCTCTGTGTTCAAGAGCCAGGCAGAAGCAACAGCAAGTGCCCCATGCCTATGATTTAAGTGCAGCCAGCTAGGATGTGTTGTGGACTTGAAGATTTGTGGATGCAAGCGCTGACGTCCCGTGACGACGACCACGACGACGATGAACTGTATGCAAGGAGTTGGAGTTCCTGCCTCTTGAGGCGCTGTTGCCAGTTACTACGTCCAAGTCGTCATCATCAGCGACGCCAGCGCTTAACTGGAGTGGTCTGGTATCTAGCAATGCAAACAATGGCAGTTTCACTTGAGCTTCACTCACGTCCAGCTCCAACCACAGTCTCAGCTCCAGTATTCCAGTTTCAAAGCTGTCACTTTGTGTGTCCTTCGTCGTTCACTTTCGTTGACCACGCCGATACATGGTTTTTGTATGTATTTTTTTGTTGTGCTTTTTCCCCTGTTTGCTGCTCCTCTTGTGTTCAACAAAATGTTCCAAATTGTTGCGCACTGCAAACATTTTAAGAATTTGCGCTTAACAAACTTCGAAAAAATGCTTATTTTTTCCTAGCTATGTGTGTGTGCGAGTGTGTGTGTTGCGGTTTTTGCTTACTGCACTGAAATTTATACGCGGGCAATGACTTTGGCAATAATTAAAACAAAGCGCAACCCGCAAAGCTGTTCCCACAAAGCAAAAGACTTAGGCAACGAACTTGACAAGCCATACACAGTTATGCTAGTTATCGTTATACATAATTCGTAACTTCGAAACATCATTTGTCAAAAGTCAAAGCAACTGTTAACTCCAGCCGAACACATGTATTTGTTTAATTCGATTAACTTTCGGGACTGTTTGGCTCTGGCTGCTGGCTAAAGTATAACAAGTTTGAGCGCCGGCCACCGGCTAGCTTTCCCACCATATTGGCAACAGCAATAACAACTGCCTATAAAAGGCTGGCAGCGATAAGACTATGAAGACGCAGTGCCAACTCCAAACTCGCCAACCGCGTTACAATTTATCATCAAAGTTAGCAGATCTCCAAAAAGCCACCCGGTTGTATTTATGCCTCGCAACGATCTACAAAAATTAATGTTAATTAATTTGACTTAACTGACGATTTCAACAGCCACATTACTGCGGGGCATATGGCGCAAAAAAAAAATAAAAATAAAAGAAAATCGAAAACAATAATACAAGACATACAAATATCAAAACCCAGAGAAACAAAATCGAATCAAAACGAACACCAAACCATCTGCTGAAGAATTTATGTGGGGCCCTACATAAACTCATTTAGTGTGCGATGTCGTTCGATCTAGATTTCGATTCGAATTTTAGATTTAGATCGATTGATAATGAAAAGCCATCGCAACAATATCTCGTAAAGTGTCTCATCAGACAGCTGACACTTTTGAGTTGAATTTGATTTAATTTTATGCTTATTTATTGCAAATTATTATGCTTATTTATCGGCATGCCAGTCTATATTTTTGTGTCATTTTATCTTTGAGCTCCCACTACTTATGTATGCATGGCCATTTGATTTGATATCTTATGTGCATTCACTATAAGATTGTATATATTTATTTAAAATATACACGCGATTAATGCCAACTGAAAGAAAACTGTTTATTTCAATAACAGTAAATTAGAGTCGGTCATAAATTATGTTTATGCTTGTCACTGGATACTGAGCAACTTTTAATTGTTAGTACAAATTCAATTAGACAAATCGTGAGTCTAACTCGCCAGTAACCACTCTGAGTCGCAAACACTCTCACACACACACACACACACACACACACACTCATGTGCAAACAAACTCTAAAGCTCTCACAAAATACACACACACACAGCAGTAGCCTGGACCAAAGAATGCGCCAACTTTAGTGTTTTGCTGTCGTTGTTTTTGTTGTTGTTGTTGTTGTTATCGTCTCCGCTGTTGTCGTCTTCGTTGCCTTAGTTGCCTGCCTGCCTGCCTGCTCTGTGTCTGAGCAGCGACGGCTACTCGAAGCGACTCATTCCGTTTCCAACGCACATTCGCGCTCTGTCCTCGAGTAAAAATTCTCTAAACATGCTGTCAAGTTATGTCTACATTCCTTGATCATATTTTTTCCAACTTTTTTCCCTCAATGTGTGTGTGTGTGTGTGAACGTGTGTATTTGTGTGCGAGCTTGCTGCCATTTCAGGTCGCTCCCGCTCCGAGCAAAACGTATCTACAACCACAAACACCACCAGATACTAGTTTCTTAATGTGGCGCAGCAAATGTGCCGCGCTGAGCATAAAAATCAACAACACGAACGCTTCAAGAGCTTCAAATGGGCATTAAAATGTCCACAGTCTGCATGGCTATACTCAGCTGAGAGAATTCTCCAAGCATTCCCTCTAACTCTCCCTCTCTCTCTCTCTCATTCTCTGTTCGCATGTGACTCATTGAGTGAAACGCAACGAGTGAGTTACTGCTGCCTGCTCTTAAGATATGCTCTTAATCTGATGTGTAGCATGAAATTTTTGAACGAAATAAAATTATTGATGAAATACAATTACAAATATTTTAAAATTCATACTGTATATTCTTATGTTCTTAAATATTCACAGTCCAATCTAAAATATGTATATTTAGTAAAGAGAAACATAATGCATTTGAATTATATGTTTGCATAAACGTTTTGCCGTCGGCTTTGCTTATTGAGAAGACGGCTATTGCCTGAAATACTATTTTTTTTTAATAGTTTCCAGGTCGTACACAGAAGGGGGTGCTCCCCCCTCCAACTACTTCGTAACTTTAACTTAACTTTCTTAAGGAAACTTTTAATTTTAATGTAATGTTTACAACGTGGTTCAGATTAAAAAATATTTTTAAAAAATGACTTACAAGAACAGCTAATGGAAAGCTGGGTAAATATATATAGTAAATATTATATATATATTATAATTATTCAATCAATCATATAACAATAAAAATATACAATAATCCACTCATATGCAAAAAATCTTCCATTTCAATACTAAATACAATATTTGACCTAACAGATTGCAAATATTCCTGAGAAACAAAATTCATGGACTGATAATGCTGATTAAATTAAGTAATTAGCTATTTACACATTAAATTATTTTTTTCAGAGTGCAAACTATTTGAAATCAGTTTTTCGCTGTTTTGATTATTAAGAATTTATCAAAATATTTGGATCTATTTTGTCTGCTATAAAACTTTCAATTAACTTTAGACACACTCAAAAATCTCATCAGAGATCTCACAATTTTGAGATAAGCCCAAGTAAACAATGCAATTTGTGTAAGCATAAATAAATTGTTTGACTTATAACATCTTTTTCTGGATAGTCACGGGCTGACTAGCATTTAATTTGATCTTGATTGATTCAATTGCACTATTATCTTATTGTTCTTAATTTGCAGAGAATGTATGTTTTTGAATTTGCAAGTTAATATAAAAGCAAATTATTTGATTTGAAATAGATTTTTTGGAAGAGTGAATATAATGAGTTCACAGTCATGGGCTGGTAAAGCATTTAATTGGATCTTGATTATTGTTGGGCATGTATTTAAAATTCAATTGCACAATTATTTGATTGATCTTGATTTGCCGTGAATTTATATAGACAAGTTCCCAATATCCAGTTATAGTATACGCTTTGTGTAGAGAGGGTTGCAAGTCTATCAAAATTTAATTTGCCGTTACTAATAGCCAGGTTGTCTTGTACGCAAAGCTGTCCAGATGCAACAAATATATTACTTTAAATGGATCATATTGGCCTGGATGCTAAACATTTGTTTTGCACAGAAGGTATGCGTTTGACTATTTAGTATAGAAAGCTCATATAACGATTCTTTAATTGCTTTACGCTATGTTAAGAAAATAATCTTCACGAAAATTCAATGTTCGCTGAAGGGCACCAAAATGGCCAAGATAGAATGCTTTTTAGAGGGCAGGAAAACGCTTGCGTTCCAATTAACGACAGGCAGCAAAGACATACCAAATATTGTGGGCATATCGGATCTGAATCTACACATAGTAAATGGCAAACGTAATAATAACATGCGCCATAAAGATTTTCGCATAGATGTGTGCAATATGCGTATTGGGCAGCGCCTCACCCTGCTAAATTTTTTTCATAAAGGCTTAGAACAAGCGGACAGCAATCTGCCCAAAAAGTGCCCCTTAAAACAGGTGAGTGAAGCGAAAGGGGCATGCTATTTAGCAGGTGCTAAGTCTTTTGTGCTCGCACACAATTGCAGAACATCACCTATGGAATACGGCACCTAAAGTTTGATGGGAATTCCCTTCCCGGCTATTTACCAAAATATAATTTCAAATATACGGGCAAATTCCAATCGAATGATGACAACCTTTTTCTGTTGCAAATAGAAGGATCACTATGCTATCCCAATAATGATTGCACTGGCGCAGAAACTAACTTAACAAAAGGCAACAACACTGATATCAATCAAGAATTTATGTAAATATAAATCCAATAAATATACATCTACGCATCGATTGCGTAAGGATTTAATTGCATCTTTAACTCTTAACAGTCCTCAATACAACGTCAACGACTCGTTTAAATGAAATAATTATATAAATACAGTTATATGCATGGGTAGCTTTACTCCATAACTATGAGATTTGAAACTGATCAAAACTCAATCGAGGGCCCATCTATCCATGAAATTACCTTTAAGTGATCAATTTTTATTCAAAATAAAGTATATATAAGAGTTCGGAGAATCCATCTAAATTAGTATTTTACGATTGATGCTCTACCTTAAGTTTCCAATGCGACAAAAGCTCTTCATTCGTGGGACATTATTCTTTTGTATGCTAAATATTAGCAATACTCAAAAGGTATATGTATATTCTTGTTAATAATCAATTAAATCGAATATTGCTTAATATGCGCATACGTTTCTTAGAATATACTATTTAATAAAGCAGAATGCTCCTTGAGAAGCAACAAAATAGACAAAGTTGATTGCTTTGTGGAGGATGGCAAAGCGCTTACGCTTGAAATAACTACAAACAATATTGTAGTCGTGAACTTGGTAGGCATATCAAACCTGAAACTTTATAGTCATGGACGCAGCAAAGCGACGAATATCAATGGGTTCCGGATAGAAATATGCAAGATCCTGAACACCAAAATGCGTCCTTCCCTGGTGTCCTTTATTTATAATGGTATACTAGGAGCCGATAACAATTTGCCTGCTAAGTGTCCCTTCAGTAGGGTAATTGTGGCTACATTTTCGCATCCCTATGATATTTATATTTCATTTTCTCTATACACATATTTCGCAGAACACCACCTATGTAATACGACGAATGCAATTTAGTTCCAAATATGTGCCTTCCATTCTGACAGAGGGTAATTTTACATTCAATGCAACATTTTGGGGAACCAATGGAAGTCTATTTGACATGAAATTAGCAGGCTCAATTTGTAATATGAATCATGATTGCACTGGATCTGGAAATGTTACAACATCCTGATATGTGTATTGAATGTATTGTCATTTTTCATTCGTAAATAAAAAGTGAACAACTAAGCGGTTCTGTGGTCGAGTGAACTCGACTACGATTTACCCGCAACCCAGCTGTTAAATTTATTCTAAAATTATTGGCAAATTTGCCTATATTAAGTTTTGCACCCAAATGTGAGCAGGCCTGCAAGTGAACTCATTTCTTATAGCAACATCAGGTAGTGAAGAGTAAAAAAAGCGAGCTGCGCATGTTATTATTGAGAAGCCCGATCTGATCCTAGCTGACTGGCAAAAACATACATATGTATGTATATATGTATACGAGAATATATTTTCGCCTATAACTTGGATGTTTCTCATCCAATCTTAATGAAAAATCATAATATGCATATGTATATTCTGTGTAAATTGGAATATTGTAGCATTTATTGCTATCGGAAATCGAAATGAATCGATATTCGAGAAACGTAATCAGTTATCGATCAAATAAAGCAAACTTGATCTGTGCCGGAAATACTAGAACCTATATTCCAATATTCTTATAGTCTCTGAGATCCGCGTGTTCATACAGACGAACGGGCGGGCGGACGGACAGAAGGACATGGCTATATCGACTCGGCTGTTGACCCTGATCAAGAATATATATACTTTATGGGGTCGGAGATGCTTCCTTCTGTCTGTTACATACATTTGCACAAGACCATTATACCCTTCTTACCCATTTTAATGGGTTCAAGGTATAAAAATATTAAATTTTGTTTTGCGGAGCTTCAAGAAATTTGGTGCGAAATATTGTACATGTTTTCTACATATGTATACCCATGTCATGGTCATATCTATATATATATATATATATATACATATATATATTTGCACAACATGATTATACATTTTCTAACCATTTTCAATGAGTTCTGGGTACAACTACTTCAAATTATTTGTATGCATGGCTTCTGGAGTTAATTGTACATGCAACTATGCTATTAAATAAAACAAGTATCAATGATTAAGTCGAGTGAGACCGACTACGATATATCCTGAACCCAGCTGTTAAATATATTATAGTCTTATAGGCAAATTCAGCTTTGAAAAGTTTTCCAACCGAGAGTAAAAATAAACTAAGGCAGCGCAACTTTATATTCACAAGCCCGAACTGACCCGAAATGACTGGCTACAAATACATGCATATATATAAATACATACATATATACGTATACGCAATCGTAGGTTTCGGAGTACTTCAGAATACACACAAAAAAAAAAATTGGTACTCGCATTGATTATGATGCCATCTCTTTCTCACACATGCACTCGCATTTTTCTGCATATTTCGACTGCAACTTGGGTGTTTCTTATCCGATCTCGATGAAATTTGAGCTGTTGATCAATAATATGCATATGCATATGCATATTATGTGTTAATTAGATTCTGCCTTTAAAATTTGAGGAATTAATTGCTATCGGAAATCGAAATTGATCGATATTCGAGAAACGGAGGCAGTTATCGATCAAAAAAAGTAAACTTGATCTGCGCCGGAAATACGAGAACCTATATTCCTATATTCTTATAGTCTCTGAGATCCGCGTGTTCATAAAGATGGACGGACGGACGGACATGGCTATATCGACTCGGCTTTTGACCCTGATCAAGAATATATATACCTTAGGGGATCGGAGATGCTTCCTTCCGCCTGTTGCATACATTTGTACAAAACCATTATACACTTCTGACCCATTTTTAATGGGTTCAGGGTATAGCCATTGGGTTGCAACAAACGCAATTGTCTATGTACAGTCTGGGCGTTTAAAATGGTGGCTTTTATTACTATCGGCAATCGAAATGAATGTATATTCTCCAATCGGAGGTAGTTATCGACAAAATGATAAACTTTCTACCCCAACCGGATAATTATAACCTTTGTAGCCTATTTAATAAGTAAAAAAACCAAAATTGGTATACGATAATAATAATTATTTGATTGATCTTGATAAGCTGTCAAAGTATCTATAAATCATGCCTGTTTAAACTTAAATTTTGATATTTGTTTATAGGAGGGTAGCTTTAGCACAAGTTTGGTTATCCAGTATTTGTTGTCCAATTGTGGTTGGCATAAACTTGCCAATATGCAACAGAAGTGGATAGTCTTTTGTATTATTATTGCCTGCATGCTAACTCTTACCTCGGGCCAAAAGGTACATGTATTGGTCAATATCTTATCCACAATTCAAGCTACTATTTTTAACAATTTTGTTTTTTGTTAAGGAAATCTTCGTTAAAAAACTTCATTGTCCAGTGATGAAAAAGGAAATTGTGGCGGTTGAGTGTAGTGTTCAGGACATGAGTGCGATGACGATTCAAGTGACTAACTACATTACTATTAAAAAGTTGGTGGGCACTGTGGATCTGAAACTAACACCATTACCAGGAAATCGAATATTTCGTATTGGTGGATTCGGCCTGGATTTGTGCAAGATTTTGCAACCCGGCAAGAAACCCTCCCTACTGACCTTAATAGGCCATAGTGTACTCCAGTCGGACAACAATTTGCCAAAGAAGTGCCCTTTCATTATGGTGAGTCAGACAGTAGGGCGTGCTCTTCAACAGGTTGTAAAGCTTTTGTTACCACTAATCTATTACAGAACTCCACATATGTAATGCGTAACCTGAAGCTTGATGCCAATTACCTGCCCAAATATATCACAAATTATGGTTTCGAATTCATTGGAAGGTTCCTTGTGAACAACGAAAATGTTTTTGATGTTCGGGCCTTGGGAGCAATTTGTAGTAGCGATACTGACTGCATTAAAGCAGAAGTCAACAGTTCAGCGACATAAATGTATCAATATTGAGCTAAGTAAATTTAAACACTATGCGAACATATGTATTCAAATGCTAAGAAAGAGTGCAAAGCAACGAGTTTCACTCAAATAAAAATCAAAAAACCGGCATGAATTTTGAGTTTGAGTTGTCGCGAGAGTGGCAAAGAGCAGCTGAGAGAGAGTGAGAGGGAGAGAAAGGGAGAGCCAGAGCGAGAGCGAGATCGAGAGAGAGAGAGAGAGAGATTGAGTAGTTGCTCTTGCTGAGCCGGGTCGGATCTAAGCTGGTCCGGTCTTTAACTAAGCCTGGCGACAGCTCTCCAGCCGACAGTCTGCCATCCACACTCGAACGAAGCGGTACGCATGCACGCACGTTCTGCATCCATCAGATACAAATTCAAAGAACAAACCAATGTGCACCAAAAGTTAACAATTATGTGAATACATAAATTCCGAAAAACAACAAATTATTAAACAAATAATATGTATAGATCTATATATCGTATAGCTATGTGCTCTGATGAAAGACAACGCAAACGTGCAGACAACGAACGGCAAAATTAAAAAAAAAAAAAACTAAAAAGAGACAACTAAAATAAAAAGCATAAAAATTCCAGAGATCGTTCGGTGTGCGGCGAGCAGCAACGTTGAATGTTGTGGACGGTCAAGCGAACAAAAAGCCCTAAAAAAATAAAAAAAAAAATACAAAATAAAATCAAGCAAAGGTGCGAGACAAGAAATTAAATTGATAAACCTAAAAGCAAAAGCAAACGCAACAGCAACAGCAACAACAACAACAACAACGAACCCTTTGAACGAGCCTAGAGTTGCAGAGCCTTGGCAGGACTTGGTGGCCAGTGAGTTGGACTTCGACGTCGAGTTGGACTTGTCGCGCTGCTGTGGCAATTATCAAGCGCACTGCATCTGGCTGGGAATGCCAAAGCGACTTTAGACAAGTCACAAATACAATATATATATATATATAAATATATATGTATATATACATACGTGTGTATTATTTGTGTGTGTGCTTATGCGCTTGTGTTTATATGTGTGGTAAATAGCTCAAAGCCACGAAATTGCTTTTATCGACGCGCCAAAATCGCCAATTGGAAAAATTGAAAAAAAAAAAACAAAAAGAAACAACAAAGCGCAAAAAAAAACTGTTAAACTGTAGCTGACCAGAAACAGCTTGAGCCCTTAGCCAAGTTAAAATAAAAAAAGAAAAGCAACAACAGCGAGCGCATCGCGTGGAGGCCGCGATAAACTCCAAAAAACTGCGGCCAGAGAGCGCGGAAATTGCTAAAATATTACCCGAAAGGCATATTCGCTATGTACATACATGTGCAACAACGGCCCACAGATACAGACAATAACAACAACGACAACAAGAACAACAAGAACGGCGACGGCATTGCAAAATGTATAATAAAAAATTACAACAAGTGATCGTGCAGAAAATAGATCGATAAACCGACCAAAAACAACAACAACAAAAATAATAAAAAAAAAAAATAAAGGAACAGAATTAAAGCAGCAAAAAATAAATAAAGCGGCGTTGGGCACGTTTCAATTTTTTGTTTTTGTTGCTGTTTCAATTTCAATTGTGGAAATCGGCGAAAAATCGCCAAACCTAAACGTAAACGTAATAAACGAACCGGTCAGAGGAACATCTAGAGATCAGAAGTGCAGCAGAGAGAAAGAGTGAGCCAGCGACCATAGAACTAGCTACAGTAAAGCACTGGGATCAGGCGCAATATTTATTAAACAAAGCCAGAAATTAATTTCACGACTTTCCTACGACGACGACGAGCTTGTAACTTAGTTGCATCTGGCTTAAAAAAAAAAAACCGTGCAGCCCGCCCACCCTTCTCATCCTGCATCCCTGTGTCGCCCCGGCTTCTCTATGCGCAGCTTGAACTCGCAGTCAGTTTGAGCAAGAGAGCGAGAGAGAGAGAGAGAGCGAGAGAAAGAGAAAGAGAGAGAGAGAGAGAGAGAGAGAGGGAGGAGAGCAAGAGAGGGAGCAGTAGAGGCAGTTTCAGCAGTTTTGGTGACTGCAGCAGCAAAATGTACGACATCAAGCGCCTGGGAGCCGGACAACAGCAGCAGCAACTACAGCAACAACAACTACAGCAACAACAACTACAACTACAACTACAACAACAATCAATTGGCAACACTTTAAACGATCGTCTGTGCGGCTCTGCGGCATTGCAGCCGTTACAGCTCACCTGCAGCGTTATAACGCCCACGCACCACAGTCCGACGACAATAACAGCAACAGCAACAGCAACAGCAACAACAGCATCAACGACAGCGACACAGCTGAGCAAAAGCAGCAGTCACATAAACTCCAACAACTTGGAAGCCACACACATGACACTGTTGACGCTGCGCCGTCGCCGGGCGTTCCAGCGTCGCGCCTGCCTGCTCAGCATATTGGCCGCCTTTGTCTTTGGCATGGCCCTGGGCGTCATAGTGCCCATGATTGGACTGCCCGACTACTTTGGGAGCGTTGAGTCAGCAACGGTTACGCTTGATATGAGCGAGGAGCAGCCGAGCCCGCCACTGCCGTACAGTGTGTCCTTCATACGGGATGATCCACAGGCGTTGGCCCACGTAGAGCTCAGCGCGGAACAGGTCTTTCGCAATGCCTTCCATTTGGAGCAGGATAAGAATGCGCCCGACTCGATGATAGTAAAGAAACTGGACACCAACGATGGCAGCATCAAGGAGTTCCATGTTCAACGCACAGCAAACGGTCGCTATCGCAAAGGACCCGAACGACGGCTAACCAAGGCCGCACAGGCGGCAAGCAGCAGAGCAGATCTGGCCAAGCCGCTGACACAGTTCCACTTGCCTCGCGACAGTGAACTGCAAGCGGCGGGAATCCTCGATGAAGATATTTATTGGGGCGAACTGGTGGAGCAGGCGCTGCCGCAAGGTTTTGCTGGGCAGGATCAGCACAGCTGGGAGCGCTATGTGGCCGGACAGGGTCAAGTGGTGAGACTGGAGCATGGCTGTGGACGCATGCAGAATCGTCTGGTGGTCTTTGCCGATGGAACACGAGCTTGTGCCCGTTATCGACAGAATACGGATCAGATACAGGGCGAAATATTTAGCTATTATTTGGGACAGCTGCTGAACATTAGCAATTTGGCGCCGAGTGCAGCGACAGTCATTGACACAACGACGCCAAACTGGTCGGCTGCACTGGGGGACATAACGCAGGCGCAATGGAAAGAGCACAGGCCGGTGGTGTTAACGCGCTGGTTGGCTGACTTGGAGCCAGCTGGCATACCGCAACCGTTTCAGCCACTGGAACGTCATCTCAATAAGTACGATGTCTGGAATATAACGCAGCAAATGCAGCGGGATGCGACGACAACGATCATGTCGCGGGGATTACTCAAACGGTTGGAGGCTGCCAACAGCCAAACGGACGCTCATCAATCACGCATGCTTGAGGAGTCGTCCTCCAACATCGAGTTGTCCTCAACTGCAGCGGCATCCTCGACATCGTCGTCGTCATCGTCGTCGCCGTCGTCGGCGCTGCTGCAGCGACTAATTGAATTGGCACAATGGTCGGATTTAATCGTCTTCGATTACCTGATCGCGAACCTTGATCGTGTCGTTAATAACTTGTACAACTTTCAATGGAATGCCGACATTATGGCTGCGCCCGCTCACAATCTGGCGCGCCAGAGCGATACACAGCTGCTTGTGTTCCTTGACAACGAGTCGGGATTGCTGCACGGGTATCGGCTGCTCAAGAAGTATGAGGCCTATCACAGTCTGCTATTGGACAATCTGTGCATCTTTCGTCGTCCCACCATTCAGGCGCTGCAGCGTTTGCGTGCCGAGGGCGCGGGTCGACAACTGCGCGATCTGTTTGAGCGCACAACCAGCCCCAATGTGCGTGATGTGCTGCCCTCTCTGCCGGATAAATCAATCAAGATTCTGGCGGAACGCATCGATCGCGTGCTGGCCCAGGTCCACAAGTGCAGCGACAGCAACAAGAGCAGCTAATGAAACGATATCCAATCCAATCCACGCATCGATAACGATTGGACTTTTCGTGTATTCATTTATTTGTTTTCTTTTTGACTGATAAGTTGTAAATATCGTTGAGACACACACACAAAAGACGCATAACTGAGAGAAAACTTGTTAAACATTGCCTTAACTAATAGTTAAACTTAACATTAATCAAATGCCAAATGTTCACAACTGGCCCGCTCAATTAGTCAATAGAAGCAGCTTAACAATTCCACTTTATTCGGGGGCCAAGTACGAGTATTAGCAGGACATCAGATCAATTATCTAAAGCGAGTATTAAGCGAGCAGTAAAAATAGACTTTGACTTAAGTTTAGCATTTTAAAAATTGTTTATAATCGTATATTTCGTACTTAGTTTTTATTTTTGATTAGTTTTTGAGATACTTTTTGTGATATTTTGTTTAAGCAGTTTAGTGAAAGCTAATTATAAATGTCTAAGTAGATATCATTTTTGTATAATTTATGGGCCATTTTCCTTAAGCGAAACAAATAAAAAACAAACATATACAAAATCAAATCAAATCACTATGACTACTCTCAATGCACTTGCTTACAGATACAGATGCAGATACGAATGTTGCAGATGCAGATGCCAGATATTTTTGTTGCTTCACATATGAGCACGCCTGCGCCAGTGAGAACTTACATAGTCATGACAATAAATTGTCATTGATCTTTTTTTGCAGGTGAAGCCTGCAGCAGCAGCAGCAGCAGCAGCAGCAGCTGTGACTGCGACGCAGACTGCGATGGCGATGGCGATGGCAATGGCAACTTGGTTAACTACTCCCATGGCTGTCTGTCGCTGCGCTGCATTTGTCAACTTGCCAGCAGTGCAGTAACTTGCCACAAAACTGCTTGCCATAGTCTCTCTCCGCCTCTCGAGTTGTCACGCAGCCTCAAAACTCCAACTCCAACTCCGACTCGGCCTCGGCCTGTGCTTTTCATAATATCTTCATAAGCATTTGAAGTGTCCCCCTGTCTCGTCTGCGTGCGTCTCTTACCCTGTCGCCCTGTCTCTCTGTCACTGTGTGAGTTTGAAATTCAAGTGCAACGACGAAGCCAGCAGAAAGATGAAGCTGAAGCCGGAATGAGGCAAAGCGCAGTTCAAGATACTTTCGTCGCGCACACACATATAAATATATATATATATATACAATATACAATATATATATATATATATATATATATATATATGAGCCCTGCCTCTACAGAGATAGCCAGGCCCAGACTCAAGTCCCGGTCCTCAGGTCCAGGCCGGCTGTCTGTACGTCTGCTTTAAGATTTAAGATCGCTGCTCATTAAGTGCGTCCGCGTGTCTCAACGACAAGATGCTGAGAATGAGAATCTTGCGCACTCTCACTCTCTTTGCACTCTCTCTCTCTCTCTCTCTCTCTCTCTCTCTCTCTCTCTCTGCCACAAGTCGACCTCCCTCCTTCTCTCATGTGCGTATGTGAGAGTTTGAGCTGGCTCTTCCAGCAGCTCGTCTCGTTGCCTGGAGTTTTGCATCTGATTTCGTTGCGTATATTTTATTGGACACCAGAGTAGTTCACGTCGCTGCAACTGAAACGAGACTGAAATTTATATGTATGCTACATACACATACACGCATACATAGACAGAAATTTATGTATTCGAGTTGCTCTATCAGAACTGTTACCTGACTTAGGCGACTTTCAACTGAACTGTGCTACAAAGCGCATAAGAAATTCGTAAGGCTTTAAAACATGAAGAGCACCTAATGGTTAGATAACCCGTTTCGGCCACAATGCTCCTGCTCTGTTTGAATTTGTTTATGTGTGTGCGTGTGAGTGTGTGTGCTGTGTCTCGGAGAGCTTAATAAAAATCGTTATGCTAGTTTAATAAATATATCAAATAACCTTAAAACGTGTTAGGGAACTTGTGACTTTAACACGTTCAGAACTTGCTATGAAGTCTTTAAGCATATCATTTTACATTTAACCAAACGAAATGTGTTGTAGCCAAGGCTTTGTAGATTCTACTGCTGCCTTAGCTGAAATCAACAAACAAATTTCCTTCAGCTAAGTGGGAAACTATAAAACAATATAATTGAGTTCTAACTCTCCAAACATAAAAAAAACTGATACATAGAAATGTTTTCATGCTTGGGTTGAAATGGGATTGAGGGAAGTTAGCCCACCAGCTGTGCCATTATTTGAACACATATACATACAGATACTAAAACACACAAATTGTCTGCAAAAACACTTTACATATATGGTCAAAATTACCGTAACAAACAACAACAACTAGCATAACAAGAGTACACACATTTTATGATCATTTTTTATGGGGTTATTAATAAAAGTTTATGGACATGTGCCATAAGATTTAGCCAACAATAAAGCATAATATGTCTCTAGATATGATACACATAGGGGAGCTCAGTGAATAATCCAAGTCAGATGCCATGTAAAAGTATCGCAGATTACCACATTCTTTAGATAGTTTGCTTTCTCCGATGGCTTTTTAGATGTGAGTATGTCGGCATTTATTAAAGTTTGAGGAGCCAAAAGAGAAAATTTGTGGAATTGTGGATTTGTAGATGAATATATATATATACCTTTATATTATTTAACGTGATCTACACTTTGTACCACAATGTTATATTTATTTGATATTGATTCCAATATATTCAGAAACATCTAAAATAAACGTATAGTAAATAATTAACTAAATATATATTTATTTTTCTTTTCTTTTATTTTATTCAATTTTTTAAGTTTTCTTTATTATTTATTTCATAATCATTTCTTCCTTTTTATCCAAATTCGAATAATGACATTTTTGTTAAATATATTGATATTCACGTTATTTTTAAACCGCCCTCGTTTCTTAGGGACTTATGAGTTATTTTCGTTTGGTTTACATTGATTTTGCCAGTTTTTATGCCGGGTCAATGAAGTTGCCACGCAGTCGAAACGATTCCTTTAGCTGACAACGCGACTCACGTACTTGGCCAGTTGTTGTGGCGTCGTCTCCGTGTGCACAATAATTTGCATACACACACACACACACACACACGCACACACTCACGGTCAGCATTTGCCTTTTGGCGAGCTGGGCATGCAATATTTTCTCGTGTTGTGTGTTTACTCTTTTCGCTTTTATTTAATGTCCATGTTGGCCGGACCCAGGGTCTTGCAGCACTTGTTGCTGTTACTTTTGCTTATGTTGTTTTTGTTTTTGTTGTGGCTAGTTTGCTTATTGCGCTTGCAGCAAAATTCTAAACAAATTGCTTCCGCACCTGCAGCTAAGAAAATCAATGCAAAATACAAAAATCCACAAAGCGGCAAGCAAACCACAGATCCTGACTCCGTCTCCGACTCCAACCCCGACTCCGATTCCGACTTCAACTTCGACTCAGACCATGGACTACAGAATTATATAGTATAGTTGATCTCTTTGTATGGGCATAATAAAAAGCATTGTGCCACATGGGAAAAATTAGCTGCATACTCCACCTATGCAGCAATTTTCTTTCCGAGGGAAAGACACACGCATACATATCAAAATAAAACATTTCCCAGACCAATAGAAAGTGGTAGAGGAGAATAGGGCCCTTAGCATTTAATATCATATCATATCGTAATCCTGACAATGGCACCGTCGACGGCACTAAACTTTAGCAATAACAATGCACACACAAACTAATATTGACAAAAGAAAGGGTAAGTGCGACCAACATGGAGAAAGAGACCAACACACACAAAGTTATTATACACACCTATATTTTCTGTTGTTGCCAGTTTTCCCCCCATTTGATATTCTTCTTTTTAAGTGAGCGTCCCTTTGGGCGCTAACGAAATTACGTGGAAGGGCAGCGATGTGCAGCAGGCTCAAAAGAAATTTACGATCGGCATTTGGATTTGAATTTATGAAAAACCTTCTTTCTTTTTACACCTGAAAAATAGAGGAACAAAATAACGAACGAACATCTTTAGAGATGCTTAACTGCTTTTCTTGGGAGTCTACGAGTCGACTTTGGTCGGCTGGTGACTGTGTTTCTTGTTAACATATGCTCGGAAAAGAAGAAAGAGATAAAATGCTGATACGCTACAGATACTGAAAACAGAAGACTTAGGCAACGAACTTGCTCACAAGATTTGATAAGCACGCTGGGAACAAGCAAAATTTTTACAAAACATGGCCTCACCTCAGACTAAGACTTTAGCGCTTTTTACTTGGCTGCCGACGCTATTCGGAGTTAATTAATTTTACGAATTACTGATTAATTTAACAAACTGGTCAATGATTTTGTCCCTATCCGGGTTGACATTGACGAAGTGCAGAACTTTGTCTGCGTTGCGTATGGTTTCAAAATACGCGCATATAAATATTAGTATGCCCATTAAATAAATGAAAGGGGTATTCAAATGTATTTAAATAAATGAAGCTAAAAAAATGAGGTAATAAATATATTTGCAGTATTCATAGCCATAGTATTATTGCATATTTCTATATAAATTCATTTTAAAATTCGGAAAACTTAAATACAATCAGTAAGAATACATTTCATATTAAAATTTGAGATATTTTGAAATATTGCCTTGATAATTTTCAATATGCTTATCTTTAAATTCCCAAAGTTCATTAGATCCATTCAATGAATATCTGCTAACAGGGTATTTCCAAGTCTAGTGACTAGAGCACTCTAAGTTGTTTCAAACTCCGTTTAAGATGTTTAACATGCGGCTTTCCCCAATATTCTTTCCAATTCAGTCGCGCTCCGCATAAGCTGTCCGTCTCCAACACTAAGTCGAACCTGTTCTGGCTGTCTGCCTGTCTACTCACATTGTTTGAAATCTTTTTGGCCGAATCAGGTGAAGTGAGTTGATTGATTGCGCTAATTTATAACGACAATGGGTCAGATCGCACATGGACCTTTGAGCTTGGCCTGTTGTTAGTATCTGGCCAACACACAAACAGACTGACAGAGCTGACTGAATGGCTGACTGACTGACTGACTGACTGTCTTACCAGCTGGGCTATTGGAACCCATTAAACACCGCCTCTACTGTGCCTGCTGCGGCATTGGCTTCGACTTCGGTTGCTGCTTTTGCTGATGATGATGATGCGCACGCTGATGAATGAATCTTTTCAATTTTGAGATTTTCTTAAACGAATTTGTCAAAAAAAAAGACCTCTAAAGCCATCGACAGTGCGTGAGGGTAACAAACCCTATGCAAAACTAATGAAATTAATGTTTGTTGGCCAAGTGTTTTGTTTTTGTGGTTGAACTCGCTCTCACTATCGCAGCTCCTCTTTTTCATTCTCTCCATCTCTCTCATTTACCACAACATTTGCTTTTGTTGACCTTGCTGGCAGTGCAGTTGAGAGTCGCCCATGGCGCCTTGCTGCTTGGCCTGGTTAATTGCTCGTGATTGAATTATAAATACATGCAGAGCCAGCATCAGCTGAAAATTGTTGCCCTGCATCAACTAATGTGCCACATAATCAGCTGCCGGCTTACCAAAT